GGAAAAATGTATATTTATTTCTATTTCTTCTAAATACTCATAGAATTTTGTTCTTATATCTATTTTTTCTTCTTCAGTATAATTTTGTAAAAACTAACTTTTAATTTCTTTGTTGTATTATGCATCTATTTCTTCTTTTATCCATTTTTTTTATCTATTTTAAAAAGTTCTTATTTTGTTATAGTATTTAATATTATAATGTAGTAGGACTGTAATTTCCTTCATTATTATTATCTTGTAAAATAAGATTATAGACTGATATTGATATTTCTAGTTTAGAAATATTATCTATTCCTCTTAGATTTAAATTTATTGTAGAATTATCTATTGAGTGTTTTGAAGGCTTTTTTATTATCTGAAAATTGTGAATTCTTATTGATGACCTATTCATTTTTAATCTTATTTTTCCATCAGTTTCTTCTATAATTTCTTTTATCTTAGTACTATATATTTTTTTAGATTCTTTATTTTCTTCTAAAATCTATTCTTCTAATATGTTGAATTCTTCATGTTTAAGTTTTTTAAGTACTTGTACCATACTTTTTTCTAAATTAGTTTGTATTACTATAGTTTCATGATTAGGAGTTTCTCTTTTAACTTTAAATCCATAATTTACTTTTGTAATTTTGTAATATACTCTATATATCAAGTGAAATAGATCAAATGAATTATCTACAATATTGTCTGGTGATTATATATATATATATATGTTATGGTATTTTATAATGAGCATTCGTTAAACTTTAGAAATGGTTTAGGAAGGAAAATTTTAGAGATTATAAAATTTATATTTTGAATAAATATATTTAAAATTAATACTTTTTAAAATAAAATATATAAATTAATATATTAATAATATATTTTTTATCATAAATTATATATAATTTTTAAATTTAAAATTTAAAAATATATCTTTTCATCTTTTTTTCTCTAAAATATTTTCCCTAAATATACTCTTAAATTTATTTCTAACATGCCAATCACCGATTTTGTTAGTTTAATTGTTTTTCTAAAGTATATTTGTTTTTGTGTTTAAAGAAATAAGATAATAGTAAAAATGTTGAGAACAGAGTAATTTTTTTATGAATGCTAATAACAAATTGTAGTTATAGATTAAATTTTATTAAAAATTATAAAAATAATGTGAGTCACAATTTCGATTTAATATTATATATATATGTTAATAAATATTAGTTAATAATTAAAGAGTGTATGAAAAAAAAAATATTAAAAGTGTGTTAGTGACAAAAAAAAGAATTTGTTTAACCGAAAACAAAGTGACTGAGCTTAGTCTTTTGGCGAACATTTTGGGTACCGTAAAACAGTGTGGGCCGTTAGGACCATTTAGGTCTGCGTAGGCGTTAGGAGTTTACTTTTTGCAACTTATTTTTTTCTTTTTACACCTCTTGTAAAATAATTTCTAATTATTTTTTAAAAAATAATGATAAAAATAATCTCAAATAATTTTTTAAATTATATTTTAATTTTTTGGAAATCAATTTCCAAAATTATAAATCTTTTCAAAAATAAAATTTTGAAAATAGTATACTACACTTCTGAAAATAAATTTTTAAAATTAAGATTTTACATTTTCAGAAATTAATTTTTAGAAATATAAAATCATATATTTTTAAAATTTTAAAAACTTAATTATAAAAATTAATTTTTTGAAAGTATAAAATCTTAATTCAAAAACTTATTTTTGAAAGAGGAAAATCCTAATTTTGAAAACTTATTTCTAGAAAGAATTAATGATTATGTAAATAAATTTATAAAATTGTGAAAAATTAATTTTGAAAATAAATAATTTATCAACTAAATTTATGACACTTAAAAATAAAACATCAGTTTTACATGTGCAATAAATTGTTGTCAATCATCGAGCAAAAACAATGGACAAATCTGTGCTTAAAGTGAAACTAATACTTCTTTTAAGTGGGGAATATATATATATATATATATATATATATATATATATATATATATATATATATATATATATATATATATATATATATATATATATTTGTGAAGTGACAAAAATAGTTATTTTAAGAGTAAAATTTTTTTTTGGTAGTGACACTCTCAAAAGTTAATTTTTAAAAATATACATTTTTCAGAATTAAAAATTATTTTTAAAATATAAAATTCTTATTTTCAAAACTTAAACAAAAAATAACGAAAATAATTTATTTTTGGAACAAGTGCTTCTTTTAAATGTAATATATATATATATATATATATATATATATATATATATATATATATATAACTAGTGCTTCTTTTAATTCATTTGTGCCACTGGAACAAGTTATTTAGTTGCCAAAAGTTTTTATTATTATTATTTTGTAGTGACACTCTTGGGTATTAATTTTGGGAGCATAAAATTTTAATGTTAGAAGTTAATATTTAAAAATATAGAATACAAATTTTGAAAACTTATTTTAAAAAAGAATTGATAATTTTTTAAGGTCTTTTATTATCATATAGGATACTTTAGATAAAAATTATATTTTTTTAATAATAATGAGAAAAGAAAAAAAATTCAAAATGTAATCTTAATAATGAAAATGAATCCAAAATGCATTTATGCTTTGAGCCAATTGGGCCTACGAATTGCATAAGCTAACTCTCTTTACATTCCTTTGTTTTCGGATTGAAGTATTCGGCCAACGTCACTTGGGCCTTTTCAATAAATAATGTATAAATGATCATAATAAGAGGAGAAAATGAATAAAACATTATTATTATTACTAAAAATATTATTTAAATTTAAATTATAATTTAAATACTTTTAGAGTATGTTTGATTTCTCTTTTAAAAAGAGTTTTCTATTTCTATTTTTAAATATATTATAAATTTATACTATTATATATAAATTGTAATATATTATAAACAAAAGTCTTTCTGTCCATTTTTTTAAAATTTTGCATGTTATTGAAAAAAATTACCCTTTATCCTTTTGTTTAATCTTGAATTCACACAACAACTATCCATAACGATTTGTATAATTATCCATCCTTTTAAGTTGTTAAGATGTCTCACATTAGTTAGGAATAGAGTCACAATATTCCTTGTAAGGGGTTAGGATAATCCTTCTCCTATGAGTTAGCTTTTGAGAGTGAGTTAGACATAAATTTCTCTTAACATGTTATTAGAGTTTGAATCTCCAGGTAGTGCTATGTGTACGTGAATGTAGGCGCGCACGATGAATCTCAAGTATACAGTGATGGCTGTTGATCCCTATTAGAGGACCTCCAAGAGAAGGCAAGGAAGAGGACTTCGTTCGAGTGGAAGATTGTTGGTATAAACAAAGTTTTATATTGACTAGAATTAGAAAATAGAGTCAAGTGTGTTAAGATGTCTCACATTAGTTAAGAATAAATACTTTATAAGAGTTTAAGGGAGTTATATTATCTTGAGTCGTGTGTAATATAATTAATTTTGTAAATATTTTTTTCTTTTAACTTTTCAATAAAAAATTAAAATAAATATTTGAATCTCACGCAGTGGATATGTGTGTACTAAAGGATTTTTTGTGTGTGATAACTTGTTGAATTAATTGGAATTGGTGTTTGCCTCTGTTTTATTGTCTTTACTGTTTACTCAACTATTTCTTTTAATGCATGTTAACATAATTGAAAGAAAAAATAATAATGAGAAAACATGAGTGGATCTTAAATTCTTATTAAAATCTATTATCATATGGACTCGAATTTTCTGCAGTTATCCGGCAGAATTTATGCAGTCATTCTTACATTTATCATCCAATAACTTAATTCTTTTTAATCTTATATTCTATTATTATTAAAAAAATTAAAAATAAATTAAAAGATAACTATTTATTTTCTTTTTTCTCTTTATAAATATTCTTTATACTCACCCTATTCTCCTCATTTACACACAAAACCGTTGACATTGTATATCGCGTAATCATGAACTGCAAGTTATCATTCATTACAATAATTTATAGATAGCTTTACTTTTAAGGACCATAGTTAAATAAAATGTCATTTTGAGAGAATAAATTATCTTTTTGTTTACTCAGCATTCATTTGGTATATCATTTTTTATGTGAAATTTCAGTTTAGTTTTAACGTTTAGTCCTCTTCATTGCTAAAAAAGATACATATTTTTTTATGATATTTTATTTTATAAACGATTAAACTCAACAATAATATTATCAAAGAGTAAAGTTTGTTACAATTGTATTACACTTGATTAACAATCATAATAAAAAGATAAAAAATGTAAAAAGAAGAAGAAGAAGTAAACCCATTGAGCACTAGTTTATACACACAATACTTTAAATGATCAAATCTACAGTAAAAAGAGTGATTCTTTTTAGCGATAGAATTATAACATTGCGTAGCACATATAGGTAATATGCGTGTGTCAAGAAATGCGTCACGTTTTAATAATGATCATTTTCTGAAAGATAAAATTGTGGACAAGTTAATATTTTTTTCAAAAAATTATACACATCCAGTCTTTTAATTATTAAAAAAATAAAGTGTCACTTTCAAAATATAAATTATTATTGAAAAGTATAATATTTATGTTCACGTTATGATTTTCAATATATTTTTTATAAAAAAATTGCTAATCTACAATTCATCTAATTTTCTTCTCAATTTCTATATATAATAATTGAATAAAACACATAGCCGACTACTTTCAACAAGACCCACTGTGTATTTAGTCTTTGCTATGAGTCTTTGGAATTCCATTTCTAGAAGTCAGAGGAGAAATTCAAAGTTTGATTAGTAATTTCATTTTCAAGATTGTAAGGTGGATTTCAAGTTTGCAACGCCACCATTTTTTTAGGATCCGATTCCAAGTGTCTTAAAATTCAAAGTGCCAAATGTTATCAATTTTTATTTTCCCCCTTAGTAATTCGATTCTCAATCTATCTTACAATACAAAAATTAACCAAAGCAGAATTTAAAAGTGATCCATCAATAAATTAATTTTAAACATGAAACGTCTTTGATTTTCCACGCACCAACATGTTTAATCTTTCTTATTGAAACACATATTTTTTAAAATCACGTTGGGAAATTTATAAAGATGAATTCAACTGCAACGTTGAAAAATAAATGTAAATATATAATCATTTAATTGTGAATCTAATCACGCACGCAATTCAAATTACTTCTCAAACGCAATTCTACTGAGCAGAAGCAATTCCAGTTCCAAAATTTGAGAAATTTGGAAAACAACAAAACACAAACCTATCAACACCATGCCCAACTCAATATTGATTATTACATTAATATGAATCCAACCCATAAAAATGAACATATTTCCCTCTATTCTCTAACATAGTAATTATATAATAATGATAATAAAGGCTCGATCAATTTACACCATCTCTGCAAAGGAAAGTGAAATTTGATGGGAGCAAGATTACAGGGGAGAAGGGGCAGGTGCTGACACAATGTCCTCTGACACATCAGAAACAGGGCCAGGGGCAGCTCCAGAGCTCACAAGCTCAACCATGGCACGTCGAGGGTTGCTCTTTTGCTTCTCACAAAGTTTTGGCAAATACACCCCTGCATCACATCAAACCAAGCTTAGTTAATTGAAATATATTAATAGTATAATACTTTTTTATATTATTATTTAATTACAAATTGTTGTACAATTAAAAGTTATTAATTTTTATAATAATCACTTTAAAAGTCATGTGTAGAATAATTTTTAGACTCCTCCATTCCCCAACTTAAAAAAAAATCATATTTCTTTGTTTTGGTAAATGATAAGAACAATATATACCTATACCTTGATTAGATTTGAAGTCAAAATGTTCTAGGCTTCTAGGGTATATATGGTATCCTGATGCTTTCATAGTGAATGGTGAAAGCAGGAGACAAGAACAGAACATGAATAGGAATTGCCCAATGTTTAAGGAAAGGAACCAGAGTACTTTTTATTTTTAAATGGCCTTGTTGTATTAATTTGGAAAATACAAATAACAAGGCATGCTTTAGTACGCAGAAATCTCAACCACCATTTACTTTGTTAGTTAAACTTGCATCATCGGAGAAGCTATTCAGCGGAGACATCACTATTCACTATTCATTTTCTTTCACTTTCTGCAGAATAAATGGATGGTACCTAATGACCCATATTAAGTAATTTTTTTAATAGGTCAATTCGGCTAACAAAGGTCAAAAACAAAAGACTACCCAACATGTTAATTATGATCACGCATGTAAATTTTTGAAATTGGAACTATTATGAAATCGCTTCTCATGATTTGTACGACAACTTGATTATTTTACATGACTGTCTTTTACACCTTCCTTAACACCCACTCTAAATGAGTCTCGTTTTCTCTTTGTCCTCTCTTTATTTTAGGTGATATGACATTTTACTATAAAGATTGTAGAAAAAAAGTAACATGAAACTAACGTTTTTCTTTTTGACCATTGTACTGAAAATTAAATTAACTTATGTGGAATTGGGCAAAATCATGTGATGGCATTAAGAATAGAATTTAGCAATGAACAATTCTTACCCTCTCCAGCAGCCAAATTGAAGAAAAGGTCAACAATGTTGGTACACTTTTGGTAGCAAGCAGAGGAGCAAAGCTTGGCAGTGAATTGTGGCTCAAAGAAGGCATCAGAAGAGATTCCAACAGAGTTCCTATCAACTCCACATGCCTCAACACATTGATCAGTCTCAATGTACTCTGCCATCCTCTCCACCACCACTTCCGATGTCCGGCATTGGTACTCGACGCCGCCGTCCGCCGCCTTCTCCGTCTCCAACAAACATCTCTTCCCTGATGATGCTACTGAGAAAGCACACACTTCCTTTGGCAAGTCCTCACAGACCATCTCAGCTGCCAATTCATTAATTTTATACATGTCATGAGAATACTGAATGTGTTAAGAAACAACACATTGAACATAAAAACAATTTTGGGAGACAAATTTTAATTGTCTCTTTTATTTTTTTTAGTGTATTTTTAATTTTTAGAATACGTGTATATTGAAAAGATTAAAAGAAATGACCCAAATAAAAAACAGGATTATGTATAATGTAAATTTTTAGTTATTCAAATAACAGAATTAGACATTGAAAATGGCATTGATATACTTACCAAAAGATGCATGGATGAAAAGGGAAGAAAATAGAAGAACCAAAGGCAATTTGGTAGAGAAAGACATGGTTCTAAATGATGGGTGTAGTCGGGCAAATAGAGATATTGTTTCTTAGTGAAAGAGGGAACAAAGAGGGTTGTGTATATAACGAGAAGGAATGAAGAAATGGGCACAACGATTTATAAAAGGCACCGAAGGGGTATATATATATATAGGAAGAAAGAAAAATGCGCGTCCCTAATGGACTTGTTCACGCGTTTGGAAGGTTCACAAGTTAGCCAAGTCTTATACCATTCTCAATCATATTCTTTCTATTAATTAAATAAATAAACCAAGAAAAAAATTTCCTTTTTAAATATTGGTTCATTTTCTTTCGCTTGAATGTTGAGTTGTTTGCTACCTTTTCGTGGTTGATACGGGTGCGTGATTGTTGACGACTACCTAAGACGTGTTTGGATGTCAGAACTCAGAACTCTCTAAACTTTGAAGTTTCCAACAAATTAAGGCATATAAGTCAAACCCCATTTGTTTATTTTTCCCATCCATTCATATTTACCGAAAACTTGTCCTCATTATTGTATAGGCGGCATCTTTGCTTTCAAAATGTTTAGGAGAAGAAAACATGAACAAATTTGTCATTAGTGGGGTAACGTGTGCCTATCAGAATTCAGTGCATTCATTGGAGCAAGATTGAAAAGTTAAAAATCGGAAACAACTTGAATGTGGGAATATAAAATCAAGTAGAAAGATTTTAATGTTTGGAGTTTAAGATAGTGATGTCTAACAATACATGCCATAATTTTTTGTTCCAAGGACAGAAGAAAAATTAAGCTAAAATTCATCTATGCTTATGCAATTAATCTTAAGTCATAAGCTAACTAATTAACCGGGGAAAAGAAAAAGTAACTAAAGGTTCATATTTGCATAGGAAATTGATATGAATGAAAGTATGTGCATGCGTAGAGTGTGCGTACACGTGTCATAGTGATATTTAAGAGTGTACGTACTATTTGACAATATGCATGTAATTTTAGTCGGGGGAATCAGTTAGTAGGTGACTCAAGACGCTTACCTGTCCCTTTGAGGTATTAATACATCAAAAGGATTACTAATAATTCCATAAATTTTGTTTTTTCTTTCTTACCATGATTGTTTATGAAACATTCATGACAACTTTTCATACAAAAAATTGCGTATAAAAGATATATTTGACGAAAGTAGATGAGATTCTAAAAGCTAAAAGGTTAATATTAATTGAAGTTATTAAGTTAACTTTTTTAACTATAAGTATTCGGAAAAAAAAAATAGCTATCAAATTAGTTGATAAATATAAAATATTATAAAAGTATATGTTTATATGAATTTTCTTTTACTTAATTATTTTTCGTCTCTATACTTATGTGACTTTGTCTATTCATATTCAGTCATAAAAAATTTTCAACCATTAAAATTAAATATATTTTATCACAAAATTTTGGGAAAATTAATGAAAATAATATATTGGAGATGTGATATGACGATAATTCGTAAAGATTGACCAGCCTTAAAATATAGAATTTGAGGTAAGGAGCTTAATTTTAGCAACGTAAAAGTAATGAGACGAAATGCAGTTATTAGAACTAAAAGAATTAAAATCATATATAAACTAAAATAAAAGGAGCTGAAAGTGTCGTTAATTTTTTTATATACAAATTATAATTTTTTAGAAAAATATATTTTTTGGTAATTATAATTTTAGATTTTATCAATTTTTTGAGGATGGTACTAGCTTGAAGATAGATGGGGGTATTATGAAGGTGAGGTGTGGTTTTTTCTTGAATAAAGACAGGGTATATGAAATTTTTTATTAAATAATAATATTAATAAATTATAAATTTAAAATAGCTTTTAAAAATATATAGTAAGTTAATGAGATGTTTCGTTCACTAAATATTTATACTTTAGTTAAATAAACTTACAAACTAATTAAATAAATTACATATTAACTGAAATGATCCTAATAAATACATTCCAAATATCAGTGTTCCAAACGTATCGTATTGCAAGGGATGACGAAAATCGTAGTAATTTTAACACATTAGGGAGATCCAAAAGGTAGGATAAAAGAAAGGTAAGCTAAATAAATGCTAAGTAATATAGGTGAAATTAGAATTCGATATTAAGTAACCTCTTACTTGAAAGTGATTAGTCACAGTGGAAGTGGACTACTATTTTACACTAATTTGACCTTTTATGTTAAGAGTTCAAATCGTGGAGAGTCACTAATCTAGAGGTTTTATTGAACCATCACTTTTAACTTGAAAATAAAATTTATTAGAACAAGTTAAACATTTAAAACCAGTTGTTTTTATAATCTAATTCTACAGAAACTCTTCCAGTTATTTCAACCCTTCAAAGGATCAAAGCGTTGAAATAAATAACGTATGTATAAATTAATTTATTTTATATTTAGAAAACTATTTATCAAAATATTTTGAGGTTTTTGTGTAAAACAAACTATTGTTTTCAAATATAATATTATTAAACACACATATTATAAAGAAGTTCTTTTTTTTTACTCTACTCAGTTTAATCTAGATCTGACCTGAATCATGTATTTAGATGTCGAGTGAAAATTTTTCACATATACAATATTACAAAGACGTTATTGTTTGATGAAAAAAAAAATTATTAAATGTTAAGATAACTTTTGTTAATATAGTTTTATTTAAAAAATAAATAAATTGTCAGTATAAAGACTATGAATATTTATGCTAATCAATATGTAGTGCATTGATAGTATATATCAGAGGTGACAAATTGATAGCATTTTAGTCGATATTTTAAAATTTCTTGATAGCTCCTAAGTTCGTAAAAACAATTCATTCGTTTAAATCCTTTTTGTTATTTTATTTTTTTACTATTATTTTTATTTAAATTGATTAAACTAAATATCATTTTATGAAGTACGAGATTATCTTTAAAAATTAGAAAGTATAATACCTGACTAGTGTAATTTTCAGAACTAATTATAAGGAAAATTCATTATTTAATAATTTTAATTAAAAAAAATCTATCATTTAACTAATAAATTGTGTCATTGCCATATCATGCATTAAATGTGAACTTGACCATACAACTCAAATAGAAAAAATATCGCAAAGGAATACCCAATCAAATTAATGATAAACAAAACTTCGACTAAAGTTTTCTCTAATGCGTATTGATTCCGCTGAAACTTCGAGTCGCGAGTTACATATTAAACTATTAACGGAAAAAATAAATAAATAAACGATCCACATTGATGGACCGAAAACTATTAACTCAACTACCTATTTTTTGATAAAAGGACAAAAAACAACAAATAAGTACTGCACACTTAACAAAACGGTAATACTACGAAATGGTTATGCCAAAAATATAAGGCAAGAAAAGGGCCAATTAATGTGGATTTGACATATAACAGCAATATAATAAATCACAAAGGGTCAGATTTTTCTGGAAAATACTTAACCATTGACCCATCGATGGTTAGAAGAAAAGAACACTTTTAACAGCTTAAGAAATTAATGCAAGTGTTATTTTAACTATGAACTAGCAATTGAAGCAAATGAGTTATGATTCATCAAGACTGTTGATAAAATTAAAATTTCTATAAACCTTATTTTATTTATGAATAAGTAATTTTGTCATTCACCGACTTGTCTAAAATTATTCATTAAATTTTTTTTGTATACATAAAATTTAAATTTAAAATTTTATTTAAGCGACATTAAATCGCTTAACTCTTAAATTAACCTCCATTAATTACACCGTTACTAATTTTATGAGTACTTTCGAGAGTTTGCTTAATTCTCATAACCCCATCACCTCAGGACTTGTAAATTTATCAAAAGTGGAGTATAGTCAAACACATTATTCATTGTTGAATTATAAATATAAAGGTTAATTAATTTGTATTGGCCCACATAAATTGGTACGTCAATCCCTTAGCCATGAACTTGTGCAGATATTCTGGCAGCGAAGGTGACTGTGATACGCTACGAGGACGAACACTTGCGACACTGACGGAGAACCGTTACCAACTGCTACTGTTACACTACGAAATCACAATTAATAGGACTTTAGACCAATAAATGATATTTTGACTTATCTGTTTCTATTTTTGTCTTTGCAAAGAATGAAGATTTTTTACGGATGAAGGAATTTAATTCTTTTATTCAAATTTATTTATTTATTTTTATGAGTATATTTCCTTTTAACTCTTGATTTATATAAATAAAGAAATATATTTTATATGAATTAAAGAGTAACAATTAATATTTTCCTCATCATTTTTATAAGAATCTTTAACCAAATGACAAAAATTAATAAAAACCATTAAATTTAATTAATTTTCTTAAATTCTTAATATTATCGTAACACAATAATTTTATCCTCATTTAATATCATTGCACTTAATTTTTCTATTGATATTTATTTTTTATTAAATTTAATTTAGCTTCTGCTAACTTTATTTATTAAAATAAATGAAAAATATAATAAACAAATACCTTAAAAATTATAAAGTGTTTTATTAAAACTTTTATTAAAACCTTCTAAAAATTAACTGATAAAAAGAACCAAATATAATATTATCTTAAGTTCTAAGTAATGAATACATAAAAACGTATATTTTTCTCTTTATGAACAAATAAATAACAATATATATATATATATAGAAGTCTGATAAACATTTCTAGGAATCCTAGAAGAAGTGTCTAAACCTTGAAGATTTAGAGAGGGGTCATGATTAACAGACCTAGGAATGTCAGGTCTAATATAAGATCTAGAAGAGAGGGCTTTTTGTAAGGTTCTACAGCCTCTTTCTTAGGGGCATGTTTCTTCTTTTTAGGAGAGCAGGATGGAAGACCAAACTGTTCGCAGAATGAACCTAATTCTTTCTTGCTCAAAGCTTTTTCTTTAGCAAGTTGTTTTTGGAGTTTATCTTTCTGGCAGGCTTTAATACCACTATGGACAATAATAGCAGTAAGCTGACCATAATCATAATTATCATAATTAATCTCTCCAGTAGGAGAACGACTTCGGAGTTTACTTCTAATAAGATCTCTGAATGCTTTAGGAAGACCATCAAGATATTTTTCTTTCCAATAGGCTTGGTTACAATCTTCCCTAGTAAGGACCCTAGACATAAAGGTATCT